AGAAGCGTTAAATCTCATTAGAAGAAATTGCAACTTGGCCCAGAAGTTTCCCACTATTTGCACTTTTGCCCCAATTCGTGTTTAGACTTGTATTTAGGTTTTCTAAGCCATTGTTAGGCAATGATTCTGAGATTCATTGAGACTAAGAGAGAGATTAGATTGAGAGCTTTTGGGGAGACAAATCCATACTCTGTAGAGAAGAATTTCGAACCCCTTCATCTTTTACTCTATTTTCTTAATGCAATATTATTCAGTCATGATTTGTGTTTCACTTGCTATGTCTGAGTAATCTGCTAGTTAGGCTTTGGATTATTCAAAAGTTGATAATGAATTGTTAGAACTACAAAACTGGAAGGACAAATCATTTGGTTCTTCATCTTGATTGCTTTAATACTGGTTTTAAGATTGATCACCTAGAAATCAGATCTTAGGTTGTTTAATGGATGTGGAAACATTGTTAATCACTAGAACTATCTTAGATGAGCAAAATAACTAGTTGCAAAGGAATTTGGATTAGTGATTTTGTGAACATATCGAACTTGATCTATACTGCATGTTTAGGTTGTTAAAATTTGCAAAGGGATTTAGAATTCTGGAATCTGATCATAGTTAATCTTTGCGACGGAAGTCGATCGGTTTTACACTAGTGTTTTGAGTTCTAGAACGGTTTTAATAAATATTCTTTTCAGTCTGTAGTCTGTGATTTGTGTCAACCTACAAATTTCCCATTACCTAGCGTCTTTTCTTCTGATTTTAAGAACCTACAATCCGCCCCCCCCCCCTAAACCCTAAACCCTAATCTCCCCCCCCCCCCCACATCATTGCTTTCGTTTGTTACTTTATTTTCATTTCATCATTTATTGCTTAACTTCATTTGAATCTAAAATCTGTTGAGTGATAGCCTTAAGTCCTTGTAGATTCGATCCCTAAGAACTATAGTGATCTCTTAATTTGAGAGAGTAGCTCTAAGGGTTAATTTGAGCATATCAAATTTTGGCACCGTTGCCAGGGACTTAGATATTGCTTTCAGATCTTTAGTTTTAGAATTTTGACTAAGCTTTTATTTTCTGTTTACTAACTTCTTTCACTTTTTTGTTGTCTTTTTCAGGTGCATGCATAATCGCAGTACCAGGAGCAACAAAGACAAAGAACTTGTGACTTTAGGCATTGACGAACTCGCCAAGTTAGAGATAACCATCAGGAAAGCCAAAAAGCAGACTAAAATGGTTGGACCTTTTGTTCCGAGGACAGATGCTGAGGGTCATTTAGTCGACAGAGAAGGGAACAGAAGGAATGACGATGGGCAGAGGATTAGATGACAATGGCGTTGTGATTGAGGAGCAGAATGTACAACAGCAAGCTGCTGGAGATGCTGCAGGACGTCATTCACAGAGGACTCTGGGAGATTACAACAGGCCAGATCAGTTCTATGCAAATAGAGCTGCAATCCGCCCACCTGCCTTTCAGAGGAATGACTTTGAGCTGAAACCCAGTTACTATCAGCTTGTAGGTCAGCATCCTTTCCATGGGCTTCCACATGAACACCCCATGGACCACATTGAGAAGTTTGAAGACATGGCTTCAAGTGTTAAAGCCAATGGAGTCACCAATGACTTCCTATTCTGCAAGCTTTTCCCTCACTCTTTGGAAGGAGATGCAACACATTGGCTCAAACAGCTGGAACCTGCTTCTTTGATTACATGGGAGGACACTAAATCTGCTTTCCTCAACAACTTCTATGATGATGCAAGGTCAGAAGAGCTGAGGAGAAATATCGCCACATTCTCCCAAGGTCCAACAAAAGCTTTTAAAGCAGCATGGGTTAGATTTAAATTGTACCAAAGGAACTGCCCACATCATGGGTTTAATGAAGTACAGCTGCTGGGAATCTTCTTCAGAGGTGTAGATTGAAAATACCAGATGGCTCTGGATGCAGCAAGCAATGGGAACTTCAACACAAGAATCCCAGCTGATGCCATCAAGCTGATAGAGAACCTAGCTTCTAGCAACAGCACAAAGAATGCTGATTTTGAGAGACAGAAAAACGATGGGGGTGCAGGAAGTAATCAGTTTGTTGCTAAGATGAAAGCCAAGCTGGACTCTGTGCATAATCTCCTGGTTGGGAAGAAGTCTGTTCAGTTTGCTGCTGAGGTTGAGACATTTGAGCCAGCTGAAGAGTTTGAAGAAGAAGATGTCAACTACATCAATGAAGTTGGTTTCCAAGGACAAAGGTACAACAATCAGCAAGGAAAAAGAGGATTCAGTGGGAATATGCAGAGAAACAACTTCACAGGAAACCAGAGTTCTACTGGCTACACTCCCAAGCCTCAGTTTCAGAAGTCTGAGTACAATAAGCCTTATCAGAACAGCAATTTCAACAGGAGCTATGGTTCCTCATCTTATCAGCCTGCACCAGCACCATTAGCTTCAAGCAAAATGGAAGCCATGCTTGAGAAGTTGCTAGAAGGTCAGCAGAAGATTACAGTTGACTTCAATGGCAAGATTGACGCCATGTATCAAGATTTGAATGGGAAAATCGAAGCTCTGAACACTAATGTGAAGACTTTGGATACTCAAGTGGCTCAAACTGCTGGGGCTGTGAAAAGACATGATGGATTCCTTCTAGGAAGGACAGACACCAATGCAAGACACTCTGTTAACGCCATCACGCTGAGGAGTGGAAAGAATCTGCAACCAGTGCAGAAAAAGGGCTTTAGTGCAGAAAGTTTCGAGCAGCTGCAGGAGTTTGAAGATGAAGATTTCGAAAATTTCGAAGAGTGTCGATCGACACCAACCCCTCGGTGTCGATCGACACCAGAGGAAGTTCGCGACTCCTCGACTCGAAGTGAACGGATATTGACCGAGGTCGATAAGCTGCCCGACACCAGATCGACACCACTCTCAGGAACTAGTGTCGATCAACACCCACCCCTTGGTGTCGATCGACGCCCACCACAGAAGCAAGTTCCGAGTTCTCAGACTCCAGAAAGTGCAGAAGAAAGGATCTATAAGCCAAAGGTGCCTTATCCAAGGAACCAGAGGAAGTCTAAACAGGAACTGGAGGATGCTAGAATTAAAGCTATCATGGATAAGCTTGTGGTGGAGATTCCCTTGATAGATGCCATAAGGACTACTCCTGTGATAAAGAGATATGTGAAAAGGATGATGACCAAAAATCTGGAGCTGGAGCAAGGAACAATGCTGATTTCAGAACAAGTAAGTGCAGTGATTCAGAATAAGATACCAGAGAAGCTGACTGATCCTGGAAGCTTTGTTCTGGATTGCACAATCTTTTCTGAAAGGTTTGAGAGATCATTATGTGATCTAGGGTCAAGTGTCAACCTAATGCCTCATTCAGTTGTTGTCAGCTTAGGTATGACTGACTTCCAGCCAACCAGAGTATCTCTTATCCTAGCAGACAGGTCTGTAAAGATTCCTGAAGGTATTTTAGAAGATGTACCAGTCAAAGTGGAAGATTGTGTGATTCCCACAGATTTTGTGGTTCTAGCTTATGGTGAAGAACCAAAGGATCCCTTGATATTGGAAAGACCATTTCTGGCTACTGCAGGCGCCATCATTGATGTCAGGAAATGGAGAATTGCTCTGAAAGTGGGCGATTTGGTGATGCATTTTGACATGGACAAGTTGATGCAGAGACCAACAATAGATGGCCACACATTTTATGTAGACTCCCTCACCAGTCTTGCAGAAGAAATCTTCCAAGAGATGCATCCTGCAGACCCATTGAAGAGGGCATTGACAGCTTCATTGTAAACACTCTCTAAAATTGGAGATATTTGTTGTGTATATATATATATTGTTGTGAGAAACGATGAAACAACTCTTCTTCTTATGTAGATTCTTATTTTAACAGAACATGTCAAAAATTTTGATGATTGAGTGTGTGAAATGCAACCAATATTAAATATATCATTAGAATATAGTGGTTTACGTATTAGAATGATGGTGTAATGATGTATATATATATATGTGTGTGATCATATTAATAATACTTTTCATTGAAGTCTTCCAAGCAACTATCGATCCGCTCCAAAAAAAAGGCCAAGCTAGTCTCATGTTATATATAAATCAACATGCACTTATTTAGATCCAATACATATGAAGATCAAACAGTAATTTCTCAAAGGAAAGTAGCGTATATCCATTTTGTCTTAAAAAGATGTTAAAGATATAGGTTTGCATAATGAAAGGTTGCCTACAAAAAAAATCATAATGCACACATCTAGAAGATATTGATAAAATAGATCAGTAATCGAAACATTCTGAACGAAGTCATAAAAACTGAACCGTACCAACTATCACATCCACAAACTCTAAAGACGAAAGTCAAAGAAAAAAAATATCCCAACGCTCAGATGTAAGTTTTTCATCCTTCCTACGATGTTGGGAAAGAACGCCGAACATCATAGAGGTAAAATATGCATACCACTCTTTTTTCCTCTATAGTTTTGTTTTTGATGTAGCTAAATGTTTTTCTTTCATCCAAATAAAAAAAATCTATTATAGAAACATAACTCTCCAGCGTATCAAATTTTTTCTTAAAGTCATATCTATAATATTATTTGAGAAAAGTACATTTTTGAAACAATAAAAAAAGCAATGTTATTACTATTATTGCCATTACAATTATAACTATTCTGTGTTTGACAACAAATATATTTAGGGAAAAAATCGGCGAGTTATTACGAGTTCCTTAAGTTAACTCACCTAAGATAACTCGGACTATGTCCAAACAGAAAAATCCGACCCACAAGCACATTTAAAAAAACGCAGATCCCACAAACTTAATTTAAACCGATTTCACAAAATTCAATCCCTCAGCTCAAATCATAATATATAAGAATATCAAATTTACGAAACATATGGCAAATAATATTCCTTTAGGTTGTTTATGAGTTCAATGAAATCCTAATTTCTCCTAAACTACCTATCATAAACTGATAATCTAATATCTGTTTGTCATAAATCAAAGATATTCATTAAACTTCTACATTCCCGCAAACAACCTAACATTAAACTCATAACAAACATATCAATATTACACGGGCTAATCAAGAATCTTGCCTAGTAAGATTATGAATATCATTTAAATTCTTAAATGGTTACAAAATAATTCGAGAGAAAACATACCTCACAGCAATTTATCTTAAAGCATCCTTGACCTTTGTCATATCGGAAAAAAATTGATGCACTTCTTCCCATTTTCTATCTAAGAGACTTGAAGCTCCTAGCTCATGCCCTGCAAACATAGAAGAGGAAAGGTAAGAGTCTGTTCTAATCAAACGCCATCACTATTTATAGTGTTTTCTCTATTTATCAACTGAACTACTATATTAAGTCATTGGGACGATGTTAAGACATAACATTCTTTTCTTCAATTTCTATCTTAAAATTATCACTCAAATAATATTCCTTTCATATTAATGTTGTAGGCTACACTTATGCTTAATAATATAGACAAGTGGCTTCAAGTAAGTTTTTATATTTTACTATGTTTTCCATTAAGTCAACTACATATATATCTCTAATTCAGATCAAGGACTAACCTGTTTTCTGGATGCAATATTTCACTTCTGGAAACCAGTTTAAACCTGAAACCTGAATGTAAGATCAAGGAAAAATGAATAAACATGGTGTACTTAGATTACATATCTGATCAATAATATCCTATTTCTAATATTATTTATGATATTTTTCTTATATTATAGAATCTGCAGACATCACAAACTCAAGAAGTGCCACATGAAGCGGACAACAAACAAAAGAAAAGATTGATTTCGAAACGGGAAATGAAAAGTAAGTGTTTTTATATTAAACTATAATTATTTGTATAATGTTTCAATTTTATTATCTAACAAATAACAATGAATGACATTCTCTAATTCCTGTAAATCTCTTATTTCTCCAGACTACTCAACCATTAAACGAAGTTACATCTCCAATTCTTGAATTTTGATTGTCTCCTGAAGTTTTAATCTATAATGGAACAGATCAAAGTTGAAAAAGTCTTGTTTCTTTTAGTTTTATCTTATATTTCCTTATCATTGATCTCTAAACATGATTTTAAACTTACAATTCTGCAGTGACATGGAACATTACCTATATACACTTTCTGGACAGAAAGCATCTATTGCGTCTTCTTCTCTTCTTTCTACAACCGCACCGTGACTGCGAAAACAAAAACGAGACCAAAAAAGACAAACCAATTGAAACTCTTTATATCTTATAAACTGAAAAAACAATACCAATATTTTCTTGTATGGCTGTTTTTATAATTTTAACCATTAAGAGACAACGCTCCTTTGCTAAAAAAAACTAAATTCTCTTAAGTTCTTAAATCTTTTTTTGTGCAGATGATACTTCAAGTTTCTAAGAAACGAGAAGCTGAGAACTTGCTGCTGCTTGTTTTGTTAGTATAATGTATTAAAGAAGTCTCTAGTCCTTCTTTGTATTGTGATTACAGGTTCGGGATATAAACCTTCCTCTTAGAAAAAACTATCTATTTAGCCAAAGAAATTTCTAAGCTCATTTATATTTTACGTTTTGAGACAAATTCCAAAAACAGAGAAGGACTCTCTGCTACAAGTTCTTTTTTTTTTTTCTGCTACAAGTTACTGATCTTAAAAACAAATTTCGGTCTCATCACCCTCTTCTAACTATCCTTATTGCACCCTTCACCACTTATAATGGAATTGAATTTATTAGTGTACATCACCCAATTTTAGAGAACACAAAATTTTCATAATTACAAGTCTATGCAATATCGTGATCGAAGCCAAGCAAATACAATTATTTAATCAAGCAAATTATGATCTATCTTCATAAGAAAGAGTTACACGAGAATGTGAACAAGCCGGCGATGAAAAGCCTAAACTGAGAATTGGATATATGTAAGATAGGAAGATGAGTACCTGCTGTTTTTGTATCTTAGTGGACAAATATGAAGAATTCTGGGTCTGAATTTCCATCCACGAATCGTATTTCAGAACCGCATTTCTCTGCTGACAACATAAACCTAAGGTCCAATCGCCGCGGCGTGAACATGAGATAGACTTCACTGACGACCCTCCGCGCAAACGAAGCTGCTGGAAACCGCGAGAGAGACTCTCCAGATTACAATCTCAGACTGAAACTGCAAAACGACGGCCAAAAGACCGGAATCGACGGCGGAGATGGCAAAGAGAGAATGCTGGAGCAGGCCTAGACGGCAGCATAATTCTGGATCCGAGAGGTGATGGAGTAGGTGGAGAGTGAATTGGAGAGGGGAGAGGAAAGAGAGGGGGAATCTGGGGTCGGAGAAGAGAAGAGACATTGAGACGGTTGAAGAAGAAGAAGAAGAAGAAGAAGAAGAAGAAAAAAATAGAAGATAGAAGATAGAAGGGATTGCTAACACGGTCACCAATTTTACCCACTTTTAATTAATAAAAACTGTAATTTTTAATCAATCTCATTGTTTCATTCATTTTTAAAATCTGATTAAGTGATAACCCGCACCCTGTGCAGAATAAAAAATTCATTATTTAAATTCGATAAATTAAATTTAAAAAATTATGAAGATGATATATTTGATAAAAATTTAATATATAAAATAAATAAATTAACTTTAAAAAGTGAAAAAATGTTGGAGATATGAACAATATAGTAATACATCTTTTGGAGATAATTACATTGATTGATTTAAAGCTGAGAAATAAATGTATGTGTTTCAGCTATTATTCATTTTTCTAATATTTATTTTAAAAATTAACAAATTAAAACATTCTCTAACTACTAATAGAATCTAAAGAAACACATATCAATGTTCACATGAATTTGATATATGATAAATCAAACATTGATTCAAAAGACTCTTAAATAATATATATGTTTACTAAATGCACTTATATAAATTCACTTATCTTTTTAGGTTGCCTTAAGTCTCTTAAATAATATATATGTTTACTAAGATATATCATATTCGTTAAATAATTAATATTAGTAAACAATATATATGGTTTACTAAGACATATCATATTCGTTAAGTAATTAATATCGGTAAACAATATATATGATTTATGTTTTAATAAAGTATGCAATTAAGTCATGTTACCAGATTAATATGTCATTGATTATCATTGATTAATTTAAAAGCAATCAATATCCAACAAAAATCACAATCACAATATTATGATTTCCTTATATAGTTATTACGAATAGCTATAAATGAACTCTAATCATAATTTTGGAAATTCCTAGTTATAATTTTCTTATAATTCGAAATATAAAATTATGATTTATTTATATAATTTTATGAATTGTTAAAATATATGGTCAGAAGTATTATTTATAGTAATAAATGAACTCATAACAATTTTGGATATTCTTATTTATGATTCTTATAATTTGAAAATATCAAATATTTTTAATCATATTGTTTTGTATATACTTATATGAATTGTTTAAAAATATTAATGAAAAATATATGGTATTGAAGTATTAATTATGTGTTGGACAGTTATTTTTGTGTTTGCTATATAATTACAACAATAGATGAAATAAAATTATTATGACTTATTTGAATTTGCTCTGATTGATTTTTGACAAAAATATTTTTTGAATTATTTTTTAATTTTAGTTATATGGTAAAAGAATTATCATCCCCACTTTTATTTTATACTTTTTATGAATAATTAATAAACTGCTTTTCGGATGAAAGTAATAAATATTAGTAAATTATTATATATTTTATTACGGATTTATAATTAAATACATAAAGATAATATTTAGAAAGTGTTCTTTGGATAAATATTTTGTTATTTTTGGTCTATTAAGTTATTAAAATATACATTATTAATTTTGAATTCGTTTAAATGAAATATAACTTTATACATGGATCTAAAATATATAATGGCATAATATGTAATTATTCTAGTAATCTATGTTTTTTATAAAAAAAAATAGCTGAGAATGAATGTAGAGTTGACACATCAGCATAATGGCACCACTGTAAATACTTACACAAATAAAGTTATTTTTTAAAAATACTTCTCTTTTAATATATAGGAGATTATAAAAAACAAAAATAAATGTAACATTAGACCACAAAATTATTACTAAGATCATAAAAGAATAATTAAACCTGAATATATCTACATAATTTATGATTTTAGTATTGTTAAGCTTTTTTTTTTTAATATACAATTTTGATTTGGATAAAAATATAGTACAATGCAGGTTAGATTTTTTACAATCAAATTATATAACAAACTTTTAATACCAACATGATTATAAATCATACCTAAACAATAAATTAATCATAAAAAATTATAAACAATATACAAATAAATAATAAATCCATATAGGTTATATATTTTAAATATTGTAAAAACTTTTACAAAAATATTTTCTTTCTCATTTTTTTAAAAATGGTGGATTGATAATATGATATTATTTTTTCTTCTCGTTTTTTTATCCTGTTAAGCGAAAAAAAAAAGAAAAATTTTCAAAAATTTCAGCATACATACAAATTATATAATACCATCATCAATACCAAAATAAAATTATCAGTACAACAAAATGTTTTGATACACTGCATTACAGGTTATATAAACTTTCAAAAAAGTATTTTAATATGATAGTATATTTTCTTTCTCACTTTTCATCCCGTAAAACAAAATAAGAAAACCATCAAAAATTTCAGTGCATATACTAATTATATAATCCATCATCAACACAAAAATAAAACTATCAATACAACAAAATATTTTAATACACTACATTACATGTTGCATAGACTTTAAAAGAAAAAAATTTAGAAATAAAAATAGAACTATCAACAACAAAATAAAACTATCAGTAGATCTCCACAATTTTATGAATAGAATATTAAAATATGTTAATAGTATGAATGACGGTTTGTATAGGATTTAAAAAAAAAAATTTAGAATTTTTGTGATCCAACAAACATCCTCAACCAATATAGTAATATAGATAAGAAAAATAGTTTTTTTAACAATTAAAATGTATATCAAACTACTAATACCAACATAATCATAAACCATACTTAAATAATAAACAAATCATACAAGAAAATATTAACAATATACAATAAATAATAAATCCATATATGGTATATATTTTAAATATTGTGAAAGTCCTAAAAAATATTTTGTTTCTCATTTTTCAGAAATAATGGATTGATAATATGATAATATATATATTTTTCGTTTTTCATCCCATTAAACAAAAAAAAAGACTAATTGCCAAAATATCATTGATAATACCATCATCAACACCAAAATAAAATCATCAATACAACAAAATATTTTAATATATTGCATTACGGGGTGTATAGACTTTTAAAAAAATAATTTTAGAAATAAAAATAGAACTTTCAGCAATAAAATAAAATTTTCATTACATCTCCACAGTTTTAAGAATCGAACATTAAAATAATTTAATACCGTGCATGACGGATTGTATAGGCTTTTAAATTTTTTTTTATAATTTTCATTGATCCAACAAACATACTCAACCAAATATAAACTTTCAACTAAACATAAATTTTTAAAAAAAATAAAAATATATAAATTTGTACATAAATTAATGATATAACCCCTAAAATTATTTTAAAATATATAACTCCGCGCGTAAAGCGGACTAAATCCTAGTTTAAACAATAGTTTCTATGAAAAATCTTATATTAATGGTATTTTACCTAAGTTTTATTCTAACATTAATTCTTACAGAAGTCTTCCCCATTTGACTTTGCTTCAGAAAGGGCAAACTCATCTTATGATTTATTATCGATCAATTTTTAAATATTTAAATGTTCAATCAGCTAGGAATATACCCTTTCAAACCATCTTTCGTTTTAATGTTATTCTTCTCTAACAGATTTGTAGTGCATGTTTCAATATATTTGGACTGTTGCCTAAGTACTATAACGCCAATATTAAAGCATGGTTTACTTTGTTAAACTTTTAACAAAACACCTTTTTAAGCTGTTTGTCTTATTAATATCGCTTTAGAATTACATAAAAAAAAATTTTTTTTACAAAAAATATATAAAAAGAAACCATGAATCCTTCTGTCTTGTAAAACAGGTTTTTTCATGACACATTAGCGATACAAATATAAAGTTGTTTTGATTCTTTTAAAGGTTATTAAAATGGGTTCTCTTACCACAATAGCAGAAAAACATCTTATTCTTTTTTTGTGATAACACAACAACAATACTCATGATTTAGATACATTTCATACTTTAATTATCTTCGTCAATTTTATTTCGTAAGAGTTAACTTCGCTAATGCCCGCTATAAAAACTGTCAAATATAATGGAACTACAAAATGCAAACCAGATATACATACAAAATTGGCTAAAAACTAAACATCTCTAATAAATATAAATCGTCTACGAAAAAAGTAACTACAAAGATAAAAAAAAACTTTCTAAAAAGAGAAAACATAAACTCAAACAAGAGACTTACACAAAGTCATAAAAAACTGAATCATGCCAACTACCATATCAAAAAGCTATAAGAACGAAAACCAAATACAAGAACATCCCAACCCTCACATATAAGCTTTTCATCCTTCCCACAAAGTTGGGAAAGATCACCGGACATCGAAGAGGTAAAATATGCATATCTCTCTTTTTTCCTCTATAATTCTGTTTTTGATATAGCACAATGTTATTCTTTCATCAAATATAGAAAATATATTAAAAAACCATAACTCTCCAGCGTATAAAAAGAATTCTTAAAGTATAATTTTAAATAGGTCTGGGCACGGAGCGGATATCCAGAATTTTAGTGATATCCGTGATCCGCTCCGCCCCGTACAGATCAACAATTTTTTGATCCGTATTTGCTCTGTTACTAATCGGATATCCAGTATTCGGATATCCACTAAAATCCGGATTTTGACCGGATATCCGATCCGTTTCAAAAATATTAGATTAATTATAAAATAATTAAAATATTTATAAAATAAATAAAATTATTTATAAAAATA